AAGGAGGGCTTTAACCTCCCGACCTTGTGGTTAAAAGCCAGACGCTCTAACCAACTAAGTTATTCCAGCTTCTTTGACCTTTAAGCTCCAACCAATATTATCAGTTTGACAATTTTACCAATAGAGATAATGGGCCATTGAAATGTTTCTTTACATAATTGTATGAATTGGTAATATTTTGAAAGTAAATGGGAAATGGACATCCAAGTTAAAACAACGCTAGAAGGAGGGCTTGAGCCCCGACCATGTGGTTAACGACCAAACGCTCTAACCAACTGAGCTATTCCAACTAGTTGGACCTTCAAGCTCCAACCATTGTCAGTTTGACACTTTTACCAACTGAGCTAATAGACAACTGAAAAATTTATTTATATAATTGTATAAATTGGTAATATTTTGAAAGAAAATGGGAAATGGAAAATCCGAGCTAAAACAACACTAGCAAGAGGTCTTGAACTTCCGACCTTGGGGTTAAGAGCTAATAGGCTATTGAAACTTTTCGTTATATAACTGTATAAATTGGAATTATTTTGAAAGATAATGGGAAATGGTCAATCCGAGATAAACCAACGCTAGAATGAGGGCTTGAACCTCAGACCTTGTGGTTAACAGCCACACGCTCTAACCATCTGAGCTATTCCAGCTAGTTGGACCTTTAAGGTCCAACCATTATTATCAGTTTGAAAATTTTACCAACAGAGTTAATAGTCTATTATAATTTTTTTATATAATTATATAAATTGGTAATATTTTGAAAGTAAATGAGAAATGAACAATCCGAGCTAAAACCATGCTAGAATGAGGGCTTGAACCTTCGAACATGTGGTTAACAGCCACACGGTCTAATCAACTGAGCTATTCTAACTAGTTGGACCTTTAAGCTCCAACCAGTATTATCAGTTTGACAATTTTACCAACAGAGCTATTAGGCCATTGAAAATTTTCTTTATATATAGTATAAATTGGTAATATTTTGAAAGTAAATGGGAAATGGACAATTCAAATTAAAGAACACTAGAAGAAGGGCTTGAACCTCTGACCTTGTGGTTAATCCCACACGCTCTAACCAACTGAGCTATTCCAGTTAGTTGGACCTTTAAGCTCAAACCAATATTGTCAGTTTGACACTTTTAACAAATGTGCTAATAGGCCTTTGAAAATTTTCTTTATATAACTGTATAAATTGGTATTGTTTTGAAAGTAAATGGGAAATGGATAATCAAAGTTAAAACATCGCTAAAGTAGGGCTTTGAACCTCGGACCTCGCTGTTAAAAGCCAAATGCTCTAACCAATTGGAGTTATTCCTACTAGATGAACTTTCAAGATCCAACCAGTACTGTCAGTTTGACACTTTTACCAATTGAGCTAATAGGCAATTGAAAATTTTCTTAATATAACTGAATAAAGTGGAATTATTTTGAAATTAAATGGGAAATGGTCAATCCGAGCTAAAACAACGCTAGAAGGAGGGCTTGAACCTCTGAACTTGTGGTTAACAACCACACGCTCTAACCAACTGAGCTATTCCAGCTAGTTGAACCTTTAAGCTCCAACCAACATTATCAGTTTGAAATTCTACCAATAGTTAGTATGCCATTGAAAATTTTCTTTATATAATTGTATAAATTGGTAATATTTTTAAAGTAAATGAGAAATGGACAATCCAAGTTAAAACAACGCTAGAAGGAGGGCTTGAACCTCTGACCTTGTGGTTAACAGGCACACGCTCTATTCAACAGAGCTATTCCAACTAATTGGACCTTTGAGATTCAACCAGTATTATCAGTTTGAAAATTTTACCAAAAGAGCTAATAGTCTATTGAATTGTTTTTTATATAACTGTATAAATTGGTATTATTTTAAAAGTAAATGAGAAATGGTCAATCCGAGCTAAAACAACACTAGAAGAAGGGCTTAAACCTCCGACCTAGTGGTTAATAGCCACACGGTCTAACCAAATGAGCTATTCCAGCTAGTTGGACTTTTAAGGTCCAACAAATATTATTAGTTTGACACTTTTACCAACTGTGCTAATAGGCCGTTGAAAATTTTCATTATATAACTATATAAATTTGTAATATTTTGAAAGTTAATGGGAAATGGACAATTCAAATTAAAACAACGCTAGAAGGAGGGCTTGAACCTCTGACCTTGTGGTTAATAGCTACACGCTCTAACCAACAGAGTTATTCCAGCTAATTGGACTTTTAAGCTCTAACCAGTATTGTTAGTTTGACACTTTTACCAACTCAGTGAATAGGCCGTTGAAAATTTTCATTATATAACCGTATAAATTGGTAATATTTTGAAAGTTAATGGGAAATGAACAATTCAAATTAAAAACAAACACTAAAAAGTAGGCTTAAACCTCAGACCTTGTGGCTAACAACCACACGCTCTAACCAACTGAGCTAATAGGCCATTAAAAATTTTCATTATATAACTGTTTAAATTAGCAATATTTTGAAAGTAAATGGGAAATGGGCAATTCAAATTAAAACAACGCTAGAAGGAGGGCTTGAACCTCCCGACCTTATGGTTAAAAGCCAGACGCTCTAACCAACTAAGTTATTCCAGCTTCTTTGACCTTTAAGCTCCAACCAGTATTATCAGTTTGAAAATTTTACCAATAGAGATAATAGGCCATTGAAATGTTTCTTTACACAATTGTATAAATTGGTAATATTTGAAAGTAAATGGGAAATGGACAGTCTAAGTTAAAACAACGCTAGAAGGAGGGCTTGGGCCTCCGACCATGTGGTTAACAACCAAACGCTCTAACCAACTGAGCTATTCCAACTAGTTGGACCTTTAAGCTCCAACCAGTATTGTCAGTTTGACACTTTTACCAGCTGAACTAATAGACAATTAAAAATTTTATTTATATAATTGTATAAATTGGTAATATTTTGAAAGAAAATGGGAAATGGACAATCCGAGCTAAAACAACACTAACAAGAGGTCTTGAACTTTCGACCTTGGGGTTAAGAGCTAATAGGACATTGAAACTTTTCTTTACATAACTGTATAAAATGGAATTATTTTGAATGTAAATGGGAAATGGTCAATCCCAGCTAAACCAACGCTAGAAGGAGGGCTTGAACCTCAGACCTTGTGGTTAATAGCCACACGCTCTAACCATCTGAGCTATTCCAGCTAGTTGGACCTTTAAGCTCCAACCATTATTATCAGTTTGAAAATTTTACCAACAAAGTTATTAGTCTATTATAATTTATTATATAATTATATAAATTGGTAATATTTTAAAGTAAATGAGAAATGAACAATCCGAGCTAAAACAATGCTAGAAGGAGGGCTTGAACCTTCGAACATGTGGTTAACAGCCACACAGTCTAATCAACTGAGCTATTCTAACTAGTTGGACCTTTAAGCTCCAACCAGTATTATCAGTTTGACAATTTTACCAACAGAGCTATTAGGCCATTGAAAATTTTCTTTATATAATTGTATAAATTGGTAATATTTTAAAAGTAAATGGGGAATGGACAATTCAAATTAAAACAACACTAGAAGAAGGGCTTGAACCTCTGACCTTGTGGTTAATCCCACACGCTCTAACCAACTGAGCTATTCCAGTTAGTTGGACCTTTAAGCTCAAACCAGTATTGTCAGTTTGACACTTTTAACAAATGTGCTAATAGGCATTTGAAAATTTTCTTATATAACTGTATAATTGGTATTGTTTTGAAAGTAAATGGGAAATGGATAATCAAAGTTAAAAATCGCTAAAGTAGGGCTTTGAACCTCGGACCTCGCGGTTAAAAGCCAAATGCTCTAACCAATTGGAGTTATTCCTACTAGATGAACCTTCAAGCTCCAACCAGTACTGTTAGTTTGACACTTTTACCAATTGAGCTAATAAGCAATTGAAAATTTTCTTAATATAACTGAATAAAGTTGAATTATTTTGAAATTAAATGGGAAATGGTCAATCCTAACTAAAACAACGCTAGAAGGAGGGCTTGAACCTCTGAACTTGTGGTTAACAGCCACACGCTCTAACCAACTGAGCTATTCCAGCTAGTTGAACCTTTAAGCTCCAACCAACATTATCAGTTTGAAATTTTACAAATAGCTAGTAGGCCATTGAAATTTTCTTTATATAATTGTATAAATTGGTAATATTTTTAAAGTAAATGGGAAATGGACAATCCAAGTTAAAACAACGCTAGAAAGAGGGCTTGAACCTCTGACCTTGTGGTTAACAGGCACACGCTCTATTCAACAGAGCTATTCCAACTAATTGGACCTTTGAGCTTCAACCAGTATTATCAGTTTGAAATTTTAGCAAAAGAGCTAATAGTCTATTGATTTTTTTTATATAACTGTATAAATTGGTATTATTTTGAAACTAAATGAGAAATGGTCAATCCGAGCTAAAGCAACACTAGAAGAAGGGCTTAAACCTCCGACCTAGTGGTTAATAGCCACACGGTCTAACCAATGAGCTATTCCAGCTAGTTGGACTTTTAAGGTCCAACAAATATTGTTAGTTTGACACTTTTACCAACTGAGCTAATAGGGCGTTGAAAATTTTCATTATATAACTATATAAATTTGTAATATTTCAAAGTTAAAGGGAAATGGACAATTCAAATTAAAACAACGCTAGAAGGAGGCTTGAACCTCTGACCTTGTGGTTAATAGCTACACGCTCTAACCAACAGAGTTATTCCAGCTAATTGGACTTTTAAGCTCTAACCAGTATTGTTAGTTTGACACTTTTACCAACTCAGTGAATAGGCCGTTGAAAATTTTCATTATAACCGTATAAATTGGTAATATTTTGAAAGTTAATGGGAAATGAACAATTCAAATTAAAACAAAACACTAAAAACTGGGCTTAAACCTCCGACCTTGTGGCTAACAGCCACACGCTCTAACCAACTGAGCTAATAGGCCATTAAATTTTTTATTATAACTGTTTAAATTAGCAATTTGAAAGTAAATGGGAAATGGGCAATTCAAATTAAAACAATGCTAGAAGGAGGGCTTGAACCTCCCGACCTTATGGTTAAAAGCCAGACGCTCTAACCAACTAAGTTATTCCAGCTTCTTTGACCTTTAAGCTCCAACCAGTATTATCAGTTTGAAAATTTTACCAATAGAGATAATAGGCCATTGAAATGTTTCTTTACACAATTGTATAAATTGGTAATATTTGAAAGTAAATGGGAAATGGACAGTCCAAGTTAAAACAACGCTAGAAGGAGGGCTTGAGCCTCCGACCATGTGGTTAACAACCAAACGCTTTAACCAACTGAGCTATTCCAACTAGTTGGACCTTCAAGCTCCAACCAGTATTGTCAGTTTGACACTTTTACCAGCTGAGCTAATAGACAATTAAAAATTTTATTTATAATTGTATAAATTGGTATATTTGAAAGAAAATGGGAAATGGACAATCCGAGCTAAAACAACACTAGCAAGAGGTCTTGAACTTTCAACCTTGGGGTTAAGAGCTAATAGGCCATTGAAACTTTTCTTTACATAACTGTATAAATTGGAATTATTTGAAAGTAAATGGGAAATGGTCAATCCGAGCTAAACCAACGCTAGAAGGAGGGCTTGAACCTCAGACCTTGTGGTTAATAGCCACACGCTCTAACCATCTGAGCTATTCTAGCTAGTTGGACCTTTAAGCTCCAACCATTATTATCAGTTTGAAAATTTTACCAACAGAGTTAATAGTCTATTATAATTTTTTTATATAAATATATAATTGGTAATATTTTTAAAGTAAACGAGAAATGAACAATCTAAGCTAGAAGGAGGGCTTGAACCTTCGAACATGTGGTTAACAGCCACACGGTCTAATCAACTGAGCTATTCTAACTAGTTGGACCTTTAAGCTCCAACCAGTATTATCAGTTTGACAATTTTACCACAGAGCTATTAGGCCATTGAAAATTTACTTTATATAATTATATAAATTGGTAATATTTTGAAAGTAAATGGGAAATGACAATTCAAATTAAAACAACACTAGAAGAAGGGCTTGAACCTCTGACCTTGTGGTTAATCCCACACGCTCTAACCAACTGAGCTATTCTAGTTAGTTGGACCTTTAAGCTCAAACCAGTATTGTCAGTTTGACACTTTTAACAAATGTGCTAATAGGCCTTTGAAAATTTTCTTTATATAACTGTATAAATTGGTATTGTTTTGAAAGTAAATGGGAAATGGATAATCAAAGTTAAAACATCGCTAAAGTAGGGCTTTGAACCTCGGACCTCGCAGTTAAAAGCCAAATGCTCTAACCAATTAGAGTTATTCCTACTAGATGAACCTTCAAGCTCCAACCAGTACTGTCAGTTTGACACTTTTACCAATTGAGCTAATGGACAATTGAAAATTTTCTATAACTGAATAAAGTGGAATTAGTTTGAAATTAAATGGGAAATGGTCAATCCGAGCTAAAACAACGCTAGAAGGATGGCTTGAACCTCTAAACTTGTGGTTAACAGCCACACGCTCTAACCAACTGAGCTATTCCAGCTAGTTGAACCTTTAAGGTCCAACCAACATTATCAGTTTGAAATTCTACCAATAGTTAGTAGGCCATTGAAAATTTTCTTTATATAATTGTATAAATTGGTAATATTTTTAAAGTAAATGGGAAATGGATAATCCAAGTTAAAACAACGCTAGAAGTAGGGCTTGAACCTCTGACCTTGTGGTTAACAGGCACACGCTCTATTCAATAGAGCTATTCCAACTAATTGGACCTTTGAGCTTCAACCAGTATTATCAGTTTGAAAATTTTACCAAAAGAGCTATTAGTCTATTGAATTTATTTTATATAACTGTATAAATTGGTATTATTTTGAAAGTAAATGAGAAATGGTCAATCCGAACTAAAACAACACTAGAAGAAGGGCTTAAACCTCCGACCTAGTGGTTAATAGCCACACGGTCTAACCAAATGAGCTATTCCAGCTAGTTGGACTTTTAAGGTCCAACAAATATTGTTAGTTTGACACTTTTACCAACTGAGCTAATAGGCCGTTGAAAATTTTCATTATATAACTATATAAATTTGTAATATTTTGAAAGTAAATGGGAAATGGACAATTCAAATTAAAACAACGCTAGAAGGAGGGCTTGAACCTCTGACCTTGTGGTTAATAGCTACACGCTCTAACCAACAGAGTTATTCCAGCTAATTGGACTTTTAAGCTCTAACCAGTATTGTTAGTTTGACACTTTTACCAACTCAGTGAATAGGCCATTGAAAATTTTCATTATATAACCGTATAAATTGGTAATATTTTGAAAGTTAATGGTAAATGAACAATTCAAATTAAAAGCAAACACTAAAAAGTGGGCTTAAACCTCTGACCTTGTGGGTAACAACCACACGCTCTAACCAACTGAGCTAATAGGCCATTAATAATTTTCATTATATAACTGTTTAAATTAGCTATATTTTGAAAGTAAATGGGAAATGGCCAATTCAAATTAAAACAACGCTAGAAGGGGCTTGAACCTCCAGACCATGTGGTTAAAAGCCAGACGCTCTAACCAACTAAGTTATTCCAGCTTCTCTGACCTTTAAGCTCCAACCAGTATTATCAGTTTGAAAATTTTACCAATAGAGATAATAGGCCATTGAAATGTTTCTTTACACAATTGTATAAATTGGTAATATTTTGAAAGTAAATGGGAAATGGACAGTCCAAGTTAAAACAACGCTAGAAGGAGGGCTTGAGCCTCCGACCATGTGGTTAACAACCAAACGCTCTAACCAACTGAGCTATTCCAACTAGTTGGACCTTCAAGCTCCAACCAGTATTGTCAGTTTGACACTTTTACCAGCTGAGCTAATAGACAATTAAAAATTTTATTTATATAATTGTATAAATTGGTAATATTTTGAAAGAAAATGGGAAATGGACAATCCGAGCTAAAACAACACTAGCAAGAGGTCTTGAACTTTCGACTTGGGGTTAAGAGCTAATAGGCCATTGAAACTTTTCTTTACATAACTGTATAAATTGGAATTATTTTGAAAGTAAATGGGAAATGGTCAATCCGAGCTAAACCAACGCTAGAAGGAGGGCTTGAACCTCAGACCTTGTGGTTAATAGCCACACGCTCTAACCATCTGAGCTATTCTAGCTAGTTGGACCTTTAAGCTCCAACCATTATTATCAGTTTGAAAATTTTACCAACAGAGTTAATAGTCTATTATAATTTTTTTATATAAATATATAAATTGGTAATATTTTTAAAGTAAATGAGAAATGAACAATCTAAGCTAAAGCAATGCTAGAAGGAGGGCTTGAACCTTCGAACATGTGGTTAACAGCCACACGGTCTAATCAACTGAGCTATTCTAACTAGTTGGACCTTTAAGCTCCAACCAGTATTATCAGTTTGACAATTTTACCAACAGAGCTATTAGGCCATTGAAAATTTACTTTATATAATTATATAAATTGGTAATATTTTGAAAGTAAATGGGAAATGGACAATTCAAATTAAAACAACACTAGAAGAAGGGCTTGAACCTCTGACCTTGTGGTTAATCCCACACGCTCTAACCAACTGAGCTATTCCAGTTAGTTGGACCTTTAAGCTCAAACCAGTATTGTCAGTTTGACACTTTTAACAAATGTGCTAATAGGCCTTTGAAAATTTTCTTATATAACTATAAATTGGTATTGTTTTGAAAGTAAATGGGAAATGGATAATCAAAGTTAAAACATCGCTAAAGTAGGGCTTTGAACCTCGGACCTTGCAGTTAAAAGCCAAATGCTCTAACCAATTAGAGTTATTCCTACTAGATGAACCTTCAAGCTCCAACCAGTACTGTCAGTTTGACACTTTTACCAATTGAGCTAATGGACAATTGAAAATTTTCTTAATATAACTGAATAAAGTGGAATTAGTTTGAAATTAAATGGGAAATGGTCAATCCGAGCTAAAACAATGCTAGAAGGATGGCTTGAACCTCTAAACTTGTGGTTAACAGCCACACGCTCTAACCAACTGAGCTATTCCAGCTAGTTGAACCTTTAAGGTCCAACCAACATTATCAGTTTGAAATTCTACCAATAGTTAGTAGGCCATTGAAAATTTTCTTTATATAATTGTATAAATTGGTAATATTTTTAAAGTAAATGGGAAATGGATAATCCAAGTTAAAACAACGCTAGAAGTAGGGCTTGAACCTCTGACCTTGTGGTTAACAGGCACACGCTCTATTCAATAGAGCTATTCCAACTAATTGGACCTTTGAGCTTCAACCAGTATTATCAGTTTGAAAATTTTACCAAAAGAGCTATTAGTCTATTGAATTTATTTTATATAACTGTATAAATTTGTATTATTTTGAAAGTAAATGAGAAATGGTCAATCCGAACTAAAACAACACTAGAAGAAGGGCTTAAACCTCCGACCTAGTGGTTAATAGCCACACGGTCTAACCAAATGAGCTATTCCAGCTAGTTGGACTTTTAAGGTCCAACAAATATTATTAGTTTGACACTTTTACCAACTGAGCTAATAGGCCGTTGAAAATTTTCATTTTATAACTATATAAATTTGTAATATTTTGAAAGTAAATGGGAAATGGACAATTCAAATTAAAACAACGCTAGAAGGAGGGCTTGAACCTCTGACCTTGTGGTTAATAGCTACACGCTCTAACCAACAGAGTTATTCCAGCTAATTGGACTTTTAAGCTCTAACCAGTATTGTTAGTTTGACACTTTTACCAACTCAATGAATAGGCCATTGAAAATTTTCATTATATAACCGTATAAATTGGTAATATTTTGAAAGTTAATGGGAAAACAATTCAAATTAAAAGCAAACACTAAAAAGTGGGCTTAAACCTCTGACCTTGTGGGTAACAACCACACGCTCTAACCAACTGAGCTAATAGGCCATTAATAATTTTCATTATATAACTGTTTAAATTAGCTATATTTTGAAAGTAAATGGGAAATGGCCAATTCAAATTAAAACAACGCTAGAAGGAGGGCTTGAACCTCCAGACCATGTGGTTAAAAGCCAGACGCTCTAACCAACTAAGTTATTCCAGCT